CAATTTTTTTTTGAACATATTACAATTATTTACAAATTAATTGGGGGATGGTGGAAAGGGTTTTCGTGAAACTTAAACGTGCAATTTATAAAAGGTAAATAGTCCTAACCCAAAATCCAATACCATTGGACCGAAACGAACCGTGAAACAGTTACAATTTAGGGTAGAAGAAAGGGGATCTTCATATGATATTACTATAGTTCAAACGCTGGTACTAGTTAAGGTATTAAGTACATCAATTAATTGGTGTATAAGACTTGGTGTGTGAATTTTTAATTTAAATTGAGAAAAAAAAAGTCAATTTTAATAACTTTAATGTACATAATCGATTGTATATTAAAAATGTAGTTTATTTTATAAATTTATTAAAATATTTTAAATAAAATTATTTTTTATGTTATTTCATCAAGATTATTTTTAAAAAGTTATAAAACAATTTGTACTTTTAATATAATAAAACATAAATCTATTTTAATAAATCAAATTATAATATTTGTAAATATTATAATTTAACTAATAAAAAAATAAAAAATGATGGGTGCACACCCGGATCCCACACCCAGGTGTGCACCCCCCACATAAACAAAAAAAAAAAATACCCATCACCCAATCCAATTTTTTTTTTATGTGAAGGATGTACACTCGGATGTAAGATTCAGGTGTGCACCAATCATAGTCCTAAAAAAATACATCTCTTTTATTTTTTAACCAAGTATATTCTAATTGGTTAGGCTTTTTCCCACCTCGAATTTTCATAGATTAATCTTGTTAGGTTGTAAATCATTACATGTTCCACTTTTGTGGAAAGTGGACGTTAGAACATCAGAAAATGACAGGAACCTAATTATATCAGGAGTCCCAGAATTCAAAGATTCAATCAATAGCAATTCCTTTGTTCCTCCAACTTGGAATCATTCTTTTCTCCTACTAGCCATTAATTCAAGATTTCAAGAATCTCATAATTTCCATTCAAGGTTGGATCTATGGAGAAACTCGTTATAAGCAACCGTGCATAACAACATGATCAGAAACATACAAAAATATTCCGGAGATGGTGGTGTCCAGTGGGCACAAAGCATATATCCATCGTTGAATTGTAGTTTTAACAAAAAAAAGCTTTAGCCTTCTAATTAGAAATTCGTGGTTCCAGCATTGAGATGGTATAAAGAACGACAAAATTTTCTAATTTTATACTGTAGCAAAGCGAATCT